TGAGCGAGGCAACTTGCGCCATGTGAGCAGGAAGTGTCTTGGCCCTTCCACGCCGCCCCCTCCTCTGGACCTGGAAGTCAGAACACAGGTACCATATCTAATATAGTAAGCACGTCACATACGACATCTTGGGCCAAATCGACGTGACATCGGACTTTGGCAGACGCGTCGGCCTGGTCACGGCCCGGGGCGCAATTCCTGATCTTGCCGACGTCCAGAACATGGGGCAGATCGACGATGAGCCCTGATCACCGCCAGCCCCGCTCTCTGCGCCATCGCCGCCTACCGAACGGCGGGGGCCCCCCCGACGCGAACCGACCGACGATCGGCAGCCGCCAGCGCCGCCTCAACTTCGAGGCCGCGTCGCACGGGCAATGACCTGGAGACGGTATCTCAGCCGGAAGTCTCTGCTTTGCTGGCGCCCGCAGCACTGCCGGCGCCACTGGGCGACCGACCACGACGGAAAAAAACCACTGTCACTGGAGCACGACGCTCGCGTTTCGGATCAGATCTTCGCGCCAGGACGGGCTGAGCCAATGGGTCGCGACTGGGCCGTCTCTGACGATGCGTTTGCGCTCCCAAACAGGGGGGCAGTTCTGATTCCAAGCTCGCCCCTGGGTTGGGCCCTACTGACGAGGGGCGCGGCGCCTCCGAACTTCCAACTACGCCAGGGGCGCGAAACGACGTTCAATCAAGAGCGCAGGCGTCGATGCGCAAGCGCAGGACGACGTTGAGATCGCCGTCGCAGCAAAGACAACAATAAAGTTCGGCGAGACATGATTTAACGCGCCGGTGTGCGATTGCGAAAAGATTCACAGCGGGCCTCGTTATCTCACGCAAGCAGGCCCGCGCTACCGCTAGCAAGACAGCGGCCGCCTGCATCGCCTGCGCCGGCGCCGCGCGAGGCTCGCGTCCGCGGCAGAAGCAGATTGCTTGCAAGCGCGGGGCGCCTCGGCGCCCCGAGAATATCCGACGCTTGAATGTCAGCCTGGCCGAGCGGATCAGACAATGTAATCTCTACGTGCCGACGCATTGGGACGCCATGATCGCTCGCGATCATTACTCGTGCCCGAACGACGATGTAGCATCCACATCCTGATGAACCGACGATGGAATATCCACCTTGTGCAGAAAATGCACGGCAGCGCCTGGCTCGCGATTGCTAGACAATGGGGTATCAACCGCATTGCGAGCCGACGGTGGAGGAGTTCTCTCATGAGGATCAAACTAGGCATGGCGATCGCTCTCTCTCTCTCTCTCTCTCTCTCTCTCTCTCTCTCTCTCTCTCTCTCTCTCTCTCTCTCTCTCTCTCTCTCTCTCTCTCCCCTCAATGCGCCCGCCTGTTCAGCCGCCGAAAGAAGCATCCGGCGCAACCATCGACTACGAACCTCAGCGAGACGAAGAACATAAGCTGGTGCAATGCAATGCAGCTATTGTTCTGCACTTGCGGAGCTGTTCTATCGCCTGCAGCACCTCGCAACACCGATCGATCTAGCGCACGGGCTGAGGGGGTGACGGCGCAGGGCGCCATCCACCCATGACAGAGAAGCAGGACCTCATGGCCGAGCAGTCCCACACTCGCCGATCAACCTGCGACATGTGAACTGACAGCGACCTTCACAACGACTGAACGCGCGACCAAACTTCTGCGGCGTTCGACGGGCAAGTTCGGGCCGCAATTTCGACGCGTCGCGGAGGCGCGCGAGTGGTTTGCGCGGGCCACGGAAGCCGCTCATACTCAAAAAGGACGACGTCGCTCAACACTTCGACTTCGTCGAGGTATCCGGCTCACAGGAGATCAACCAGCCTGTTGAGGCCAAAGCGTGGGGCCTTTTGTGCGCGAGTGTCTACGAGAACCAATGGCTGTTTTGGATTCGCATATGGAAGCAGATCAAGGACGGCATAGCGACCCAGCGGGTTGTCAAGACTTGGCTCTGCGCGAGGAGGTTTGTTGGACAACCGAGGACCATCGCTTCCCGAGCGGGCGACCGCGGCGACCAGTTCATCGCAGCGACAAGTGGTTTCTCGAGCAGCCATCTATGGTTTCGCCGTTGAAAGCTGGGACGTCGCATGAGCATTTCTGAAGGGCCTTCCCCTCGAGGAGATGCGCGGCGCCCTGCGCAAGTAAGGCATGAACGCTCCGCGGCGACAAGTATACATCGCACCTCCAGCTAATGCTTGGAAGCATCTACATCCAATCGATTCCAAACTCTTCGACGTACCATCTGGACAGATTGGGCCGTGGACGTTGGAGTGTCTTGAGGCAGTGTATGGTTTGGACGACGCGCCGCTGGCCTACCAAATGGCCATGCATACGTTCATGACAGAGGCGCTGGAAGGTCGACCATCAGCTCTTGACGATGGCGTCAATTTCTGGATTCGGTCATCGGGCGAGCTCAAGGACATCGCGGCATCCTACGCGGGCGACAACCGACGCAGAAAACAAATGGATGGCTTGATATTTCCGACAAAAAATATCGGAACGCTTCGGGGGGGCCGCTCGAGAACAACCACCGACGGATTTCTCTGGGATTCGGCGTGAGCATGCCGACTTCGGCATCTGCATGTCACAGGGCGAAATCCGCCGGAACTTGCAGCCGCTTCCTGTGGGCATGTTTCGCGCAACTCAAGACGACTCAGCAATTGCCCCGACGGAGCTGCAGGGAGTCAGAGGGTTTCTTGGTGGATTGCGCTGGTTATGTCAGACGCCCCTGGATGCAATCGCGGACGCGGCCATTTTACTATCAATCACATCAAAATGGCTCACGCTCTGCTGGCAAGGATGAAGAGTTTCGCAGGCAATCTGGCCTGCACTTCCCGAAGATGTCGGCCCCTTGTGCGATGGGCGCGGTCGCGGGCTCGATTGGGGCGGCGTCGGGCAGCTCATGCGCTCAGGAAGCTGTTCTTGTCTTCTTGGGCCAAGACGGGCACATTCAGGTCCCCGCCACAACGCCCGTGCACTACTGGCAAGTGAAAGATTACAAGTGCCAGCCCGGAAAGTTCTGTCATCTCATAGCTTCTCTCTCCCACGCGACGCAAAACGTGTATCAAACAGCACCTCAAAAGCAGAGACACGTGCTGGAGCTCATGGAAATAAGCTGGCTCAGAAGATCGCTGCGCGTCTCGCCGAATTGTTCGCCTCTGGCATCCAGCTACCACTACATCGAGGCAGTGCGGTGGCCATGGTGATGCATATCCAGGACAACGCTGAATTGGACAGACTGCGCAAACCTATTCGAACTCAGTGTCGTGGTAAAGGCGTACCACAACATAGTGATAAACGACTGCGTGTACTGTCCGTGCGAAACTATCGACTGCGAGGCTACATTCGACGTTTCTCTCGGTGTCCAATTCAAGCTGTGGTAGCAACTGGATCGGCGCAGAATACGATCTCATACGTACTGTGCGACTTGCTGATCTACGAAGCCAAGGATGTTGGACGTCTTGTGGCCGCAATCGACGCCCCTGCCATCACACGTGTTTGCTACTATTAGTCTTCGTTCGACGCCCTGCCATCAGAACACACGGAAGTAACGCCAACCAACATTGGCATAGCCATCTCCGGCTTGCATGGTTAAAGCACTACACGACAAGGACTGATAAATTGCGGCTGTGACTACCATGTGTTGCTCCTCGTGGTGAGTTCGTGGTTGCCCATTGATCAACGGCCTTCTTTGGCCTTCGAACTTGGCCCGTTGCAGTGCGTCGTGTAGCAGAGAGTGACTCAGTGAGCAGCCGTTGCCCCTTGTGGTGCTTTCGGGGTCACCAGTCGTTTGACGCTCTTCTTTGACCGTAAGCCCTCTCTTGGTGCAACGCATCTTGCGACAAGGGGTGACAATCAACGGGCTTCTGCGTCTTTCTGCTTTGTATCATAACAATGGTAAATCATGCGATTTTGCCTGGCCTGTTCCATCGAACGGACACCGTATCCAAAGATGGCGATCTCCCCGTTCAACTGGCTGCCGGTCACGACATTCGGCTACGACTACGTTCTGAAGGTTTTTTTACGAGCAAGCCGTTTTTCTTGCTCTTCTGGTACCCTAGGGATAAGAAGATTTGCTCGTTCCCTCTCGGGTCTGGAGATCGGTAGCTCCGCCTTTGTTGTGGAATATTTGTACGATAACTAGTCCTTCTTACAAGCTGGGAAGACCAGAGTCATAACGCAGGTCGCATGCAGTGTATAGCAAACGTGTCAGATAACTTTGGTAATCGTCCGCAGACATCCTGGGTCAAACCTACCAAAAATCGAACTCTGAACGGAGGGGTGGACCCATGGGAGCGTCCAGGAAGGCTTCAGCGAGAAGGTGCGAATCACTGATTGCCAAACAAGTTTTGGACCAATGTTGACCTCTTGGGGGGGGGGGCTGAATAAGTAACCCCTGCTTCTTTGTTCGAACTCCTCCAGGATGGCCCCAGGATGGCCCCCAAGGCTCCAGAGAGTGCTCCAAGAGGGCGCCAAGAGGCGGCCTGGAGGCCCCACGAGGCCCCCAGAGGCTTTCCCCCCAGGGCCCCCAGGAGGTCCCAAGAGCTCCCCCGAAGCACCCAAGACCCTCCAAGACGCCCACGGGACCGCCAAGAGGCCCCCAAGACGCCCAACGAGGACTTCAAGAAGCCCTTAAAAGGCATCCGAAGAGACTCCGAGAGGCATCCAAAAGGTAGCTTGCCTTTCTGCTCGCCCTCTTCTTCCTTTTCCTCCTCCACACCAGCCTGTTCCTCCTCCTCCCTCCTTCCTCCTCCCCCCTCCGTCTCCTCCTCCTCCTCCCTCCTCCTCCTCATCCTCCTCCTCCTCCGATTCCTCTTCCATCCTCCCCATCTTGGGATATGACAGCTTCCCCAACCCCGTATTTCACTCATGTTCCTCCACATCCCTGACCACAGCAACTCGCCAGGGCATCGTTTTCTGGATGGGCTGGTGGGCTACGCGAAGCGTCTAGTCTAGAATCCTAAAGTGAACCGTGCTCTCGATAATACCCCCTCCGACTGCGCCCCCCCGCACGGACCTCCAACACGGGTGCTACTTCTGCAGCACGTGGCCCAACTTCCTGGAATCGTTGAGTGCTTACCGCCTGCCATCAACGTGCGTATCTATCCCACGGCGATTTCATTCGAGGCTCGAGCAACTTGGTCAGCTTTGCGTTCAACAACCCGTCACGCTCCTGCGCCTCTCGTTCCTGCCTGGCGGGCATCCGTCGGACGGACATGCTTCCGATGACCGGGAAATCCTCGGCCCCATACAGCTTGCACCTGGGCCAATGAGAGCGAGAATCACCACTGCCACAACCGCCACTGCCGTCGCCGACTCCGCTGCTGGTGCCCTCTTCCCCCCTCCGTAGCACCTGCACTGCCAGATCTCCACCTCTATATCTCCCGTCTCGCATATGCAGGCTTGCCATGTGAACTGTCACCCGAAACCGAACATCATTGACCCGCGCTGGGGGGGGGTCTGCAACAAAAGTGCCAGAATGCATTCACATGGCTGGCCAACGGCAGGCAGGCGGCAGGCGGCCCAACCGGGGCACCCCGGGGTTGCCCCAGCGGCCCGACGAGGGTACCCTGGGGTCACCCTGGCGGCCTGGCTGGGGTATACCCGGGGCTACCCCGGCGGCCTTCCCAGGGCACCCCGGGGTTCCCGGCCGCCTGGCTGGGGTACTCCAGGTTTACCCTGGTGGCCCCGCCGGCGCACTCTGCGCGGGCTTGCCCCGGCGGCCCCGCCGGGGCACTCCAAATCATTCACCCGGCCCCGCCGGGGCACTCTGGATTGCCCCAGCGGCCTGGCCTCCGCCTGGCTAGGGTGCTCCGCGGTTACCCCGGCGGCCCCCAGAGGTGCTGGCGATCTATGAGAGAGATCGCGTATGCATGTTGGTTCGCCATAGATTGCAAGTGCGCGTTTGTAGATCGCAAGTTGCTGTTTCTCCTTGTTGTTATGAACCTTTTGGTTTATTAAAAAGAAAGTTTATCCCAATGCGTATTGTTGATGTTACTCGGTCACTGCGTTTGAACAATTGTTTCCCCATGTTGGCCTACGCATGTCCTCTTCGCAACTGCGCACATCAAAACAATAAGGATATGATGATGAAAGAGGGGAAAAGGGGCGGCAGAAGGGGAAGAGGGGGGAGATATGCAGGAGGAGGAGGAAGAGAGGGAGGGAAAAAGAGGAGGACGAGGAAAAGGTGGAAGACGAGAAAGAGAAGGAGAAGGAACAGGAGGGAGCGAGGGGAGGAGGGAGGAAGGAGGAGGAGACGAAATGAGGTCGAGGCTCAGGCTCGACGCGGCGGTCGACCCTCACTCCGCCATGCAGGGTTTGCGGGCCAGCTCAGTTTTCCATCCCTCCTTCCCGCTCTCCTCTTTTCCCTTCCACGCCACCCTCCCGACCAGCATATTCCGATACCGATACTCCATGGACCTCTCCTGGGGCGCGTTATGACCAGAATTTCGAAACGAAACCGTCCGTGGCGACAATGACCATTTATGCGGTACCATCCTTATCGCACCCTTCCCTTTTACAACCCCTGCCCCGCTCTCTCTCGCCCGCCCCCTCCCGCCACCCTCACCGCCCGTCCCTCGTTCATTATCCTGTTCCTCCTGTTGTTCCGTCCCCCCCCCGTTCTTCGCTGCCCGCGTTCGTTTTTTCTTCATCCCTTCCCACGCCCACCTCCTCGACCTCCCTCGTCCGCCATCCTTTTGCCCCACCCCCCCGCCCCTCCCCTCGCCCCTCCTTTCTCCTCGCCCTCCCCTCATCCACTCCTTCCCCCATCGTCATCCAAGCAAGCCCCGCGGGCCCGCCTCCGCCGCTGCCGCTGCCCGAGCCCCCAATGTTCTCAGCAGCGGCGCCCCGACGTTCCCATTGGAGCAGACGGGCGCTTCCGCTTCTTCGTGGGCCCAGGGCGAGTTCGATTCCTCGTTGGAAAAACGGACCGAGGGCCCCGCTGCTGAGAACACTGGGGGCTCGGGCAGCGGCGGCGGCGGGCCCGCGGGGCCTGCTTAGATGACGGAGGCGGAAGGAAGGGATGATTTCTTTCCCGTGGACGGCTGCATGCTAGGCTCAAGACTGGACTAACAGGCAGGCTGAAACAAAGAAAAGAAAAAACAACGGGTTTGAGCCGAAAGGGCTGGAAGAAGAAGAGCACCGAATAATATGCCCAACAACCCTTGCCGATAAGACCGTTCCGAAAGAAGAACAAGACGGGGCGAACAGCACGCAGAGCTCCAAGACTCAGTCGACGACCGTTGTCGGAAATATCCCAAACACCTGAGCTTCTCCTTCGCGTCCTCTCCCAAGCTCTCAAAGCCCCCCTCGAAATGCCCCCGCCGCTCGGGGGCGGGCTCCTCCACGCCAGCAGCGACGGCAGCCAGAAGCTCCTCGGTCTCATCATCAACCTTCTCGAAAATGCCACCTGAGCACGGCTCCACGTGCGGGCTCAACGCGAGCCCTCTCCACCTTCTTCTTGTTCTCATTTTTCTTCTCGAGCTTCTTCTCGCACGCCTGGCCGGGCTCGTTCATCGTGCCCTCGGGTTCGGAGGCGGAGGCGACCGAACTGCCGATGAAGAACTCCTCGCGGCGCTGCTCCTCGGAGGCGCCATCGGGCACTTCACGACCTGCGCGTGCGGGTCGCTCATGTTCGGGCCGGGGTAAGTCCACCTGCCAGGCGGCGGCGTCTGCGGCGGCACGGGCAGCCTCGGGCGCCCCGCGACCAGTGGGTCTTTCTCCCCCCTCATCTGCTTCTCCTTCATCTCCTTCTTTGCCTTCAGCAACTTGTTCAACTGGTTCCACTTGCACCTGGTCCTCTTCTTCAGCTGTTTTGCGGCCTTCTTCTCCTGCTTGGTGAAGTTCTTCATGGAGTGCTGGATCTTCGCGTCGTTGGTGATCTCCTCGGGTCGGCGCGGCCCTGGGCGCTGGCTTCGGCGGAGGCGGCGGCGTCGGCGCGCTCAGGAAAGAGCCCTGGGATGCAACCTCCCTGCCAAGACCAGTCACCAGGTGCAACTCCCCCTTGTGAATGCTGCCGCGCCATAGGCGGAGGTCGGATAACGCGACGGAGCTCCCCATCGACCCTGAGCAGGATAGTTCTCGCTCCCAGCCACGAAATAGGAGGCGTAGACGCTTTCGATGAACAGGACATCGATCTGACAATGAGGATGATCAAGATCAGCCAATCGTTCCAGCAACTCCGACGGATCCAAGTTGACAGGTGGCAGACCTCGCATGCAAAGCTAGATCCGGAAGTAGATCCGATAAGCCTGCGCTCCACCTCCAGAGGTCCAGGCCGATCTGCCTGAGAAGCTCCGGAGTCCCTCGAGCCAGCGCCATTGCGGGCGGCGGGCCTCGCGCCCAGGCAAGGCGAGCTTGGGCCCAAGTGGCTCGAGCCGGATGGCTTGAGCCAAAATGGCTCGAGCCAGAATTTCTACGGAGAAGGAGGGGGTGATGGGGCGGGGCGAGGAGAGAGGAGGGGCGCAGGGGGGGGCGCGGGGTTGGGGCAGAGGGGTGGCGGGCGGAGGAGGTCGAGGAGGTGGATGTGGGAGAGGGCGAGGAGGAGACGAAAGCGGGCAACGGACAACGGGGGAAGACGGAACAACAAGAGGAACGGGGTAATTAACGAGGAACGGGCGGCGGGAGGGGGCGGGCGAGAGAGGGCGGGGCAGGGGTTGTAGAAGGGAGGGGTGTGATAAGGATGATATACTGCGCGAATGGTCATCGTCGACGCGGGTGGTTTCGCTGCGAAGTTCCCGTCGTAGACCGAAGGGCCAAATCTGGCATTTGATACCGGCTGTGTGTTTCTACGGCGGGCGTCGGCCCCGATCTGGTCCAGTGTTTCCTGGTTGGTGAGGTTGCCCGACATCGGCGCTTCGGCTGCTGTCGCTGCTGCTGCTGCTGCGGGCGGTTATGTTGCCGCGGGTTGCGTCGTTGCGAGCGGTGCCGCGCAGTCTGCGTCGCCGCCTGCAGCTGCATCTGCTTATGCTGCTGCTGCCGCTGCTGCTGCAGCAGCTGCTGCTGCTGCTGCGGCGGGCCTGGCGGTGGCCTTGGCTGCAATCGGGGCCATGGCTGCATTGCTGCGGGCTGCGCGGCTGCCCCCATCTCCTCGGGGGGCGAAAGGGCACCCCCCTCGCGAGAGGGTCTTCTCGTCGCGTGTATTCCCCTTTCACGAGCGGGGCCTCTCCTCGCGTCTATCCCTCGCAGAAGACGGGGGGGGGGCGGGGCTTCTGGGCCGCGCAGAGCCACGCAGGGGGGGGGGTCCGTCAGCGCGCCGAGCAGGGCGCCCGCCCTGCTGTCGCACCTCCGCCGCCGGTGCCTCGCAGATGCAGAAGATTGACCAAGGGAAACACGTGGAGCATCAGACGCATCAATCCCGAACTAGTTCCACTCCGGAATTCTAAAGAATCTCGCCGAGCGCCCCCCCCCCTAACTTCCCCTCCTCGCGGGATATGTTGTACCCGTGCGTTGCCTGGGTCTGGGAACCCCCCTCCCGCCGCCCCCCCGCCTCCTGCCGTTGCTGTCGCTGCCGCCGTGCCCATGGAACCACTTGTTGGCGCGGTGCTCCCGGCATTTTCTGCCCGCGCACGCCGCGAAGTAGGCCCGCTTGCCGCGTCCGCGACGCCGCTTGCAATCGTTCCTGCAAAGCCAGAGGCGGTGCGAGGAGAAGGCGCACTTCTTCCACCGATCCTCGGCGCCTTCCATGAGCTCCTCTTCTGCTCTGGGGCCCTCGCCCCCCTGAAAGACAGGCTCGCCCCCGTCTGGCCGAGGGCGTGCCGCAACATTATTCGCGCAATTTCTGTCGACCAGCCCCCTCAGACAGGGGTCTCTGCGAATCAATCCCCCATGAAGGGGCACCCCGCGCGATTCGCGCCCCCCCCCCCCCCCCCCGCGGGCCCTGGCGAGGCTGCCCGCCGCCGCCGCCTTCTGGGGGCAGTCCGCTGCCGCGGCGCCCGCATGGCTGCGAGCTCGGGGCAGGGGCGCGGGCCCCCGGGCGCGCTGGCTGTCAGCTCCGGCGAACGGTTGCGGATCGAGAACATGCGGGCAAAAGAATGATACCGGAGAAAAAAACCCAATCAGGGCTATAAGGCCAGGTGGCTATAGAGCTATAGGGACATTTAAATATAGCGCTGCTTGGATGCGCGGTTGGTTTGCGCATGCCTAGCAATAGTTGTTGGGCCTTAGGCCCCGCTGCCACGGCTTGCTAACCCGTTACCTAACCCTTCGTAGAAGCTTAGGTCGGCGTCCTTACTGAAGAGTTACTGAGGAGTTGCTCAGG